TCGTGCTGGAGGTGCTGGAGGTAGTGGAGTTTCTGGAGCTGCTGGAGCTGGTGGTGGTGCTGCTGTTCCAGGTGCTGGAGCTACTGGTCCCGGAGGAGCTCGTCCTGGAGGCACTGGAGCTGCCAGAGCTGGTGGTGCTACTGCACTGGAGGTACCGGAGGTGCTGGAGCTGCTGGTCCCGGAGGTGCTAGTACTGAAGGCACTGGAGCGGTCGGAGCGGGTGGTGCTGCTGCTACTGGAGGTGCTGGAGGTGCTGGAGGTGCTGGAGGTGCTGGAGCTGCTGATCCCAGAGGTGCTCGTACTGGAGGTACTGGAGCTGCCGGAGCTGGTGGTACTGTCGGTACTGGTGGTGCTGGTGGAGCTGGCACTGCTAGTCCTGGAGGTGCTCGTCCTGGAGGTTCTAGAGGTGCTCTCTCGCCGCAGCAGCTACGCGAGTGGTACACTCAGCACTGCCGCCTTCGGAGTGGCGCTATTAGGGCTGGAGGCACTGCGGCTGGAGGCACGGGAGCTGGAGGTACTGGAGCGGCCGGAGCTGGTGGTGCTGCAGACTTTGGAGCTGGAGGCTCTGGAGCTATAGGTGCTGGAGCTGGTGACCCGGGAGCTGGAGGAGCTGGTACTGGCGGTGCAGCACCGCCACGTCTATTCTTCGCTTCGCCGTCACCGTCGTCTCTACCGCCGCTTGGCTCGGTGCTTCGCCATGTTGTTAGTCTCCCGTCTTCTACTGGTCTCCCGTTACAGCCAGGCTACCAACTGCCTGCTCCCTCTCCTTACACTGAGCAGACAGGAGGTCTTACTAAGCGTCGTGAGCCTGGGTCTCGTCCTGCCTCACCTGTTCGCGCTAGTCGCACTGGTCGACGTGTTCCTCGTGAGCGTCCTCCTCCTATCCCCAGCACGCACACTATGGCACATCGTCCTTCCTCTGTTCCACAGCATGTTCCTCTGCCGTCTCCTCCTGCGTCCTTTCTTCCACACATTCCATACCCTGAGTCCGATCTGGTTTGTGCTGCCAGTCCTACTATTACGCGTCTTCTGGCCACTGTTGTCACTGACCCTTCATTTGAGTCTGCTGATGCGTCTGCCTTAGTCGCTGAGCTTGTTGACTTTGCTTCTGCTTGTCGTCTTGACTACGCCGCTAGTCTTGTTGCTGAGTCTGATTCTGTCCGTCCTCTGTCCGTCGACGGTGAGTGTGCTCTTGGCACGGACGTCCTTGAGGACAGGCAAGAGGACTTTGAGTGTCTTGCAGCCGCTGCACCTCATCTCGTGGCCATGCTGCTTGCCCCTGAGGGAGACCCGGATGCACCAGATATCCCGACCCCGCGCTCCTACGCTGAGGCGATCGCGGGTGAGTACTCCTCTCAGTGGCAGACAGCTATGGACGTAGAGATGACAACTTGGAAGTCCACAGGCACCTACGTCGACGCGTTCCCCCTCGTGGGGCGAACGTAGTCGATGGCATGTGGATTTTCAGGGTGAAGCGGCCACCGGGTTCTCCGCCTATCTTCAAGGCTCGTTACGTTGCACGAGGCTTCAGTCAGCGACAGGGAGTTGATTTCATCCAGACCTTACTCCCCTACCCTGAAGATGACCACTCTTCGGGTGTTGCTGCACGTTGCCGCTCAGCGTGACTACGAGCTTCACTCTCTTGACTTCAGCACAGCTTTCCTACAGGGCAGCCTGCACGAGGAGATCTGGCTGCGCCATCCACATGGCTTCATTGGGTCGTTTCCTGCAGGTACCTAGTGGAGCCTCCGACGGCCAGTCTACGGTCTCCGCCAGGCGCCCCGTGAGTGGCACGACACACTAAGGACGACACTTGAGGCACTTGGGTTTGCTCCTTCGACTGCGTACCCGTCGCTGTTTCTCTGCACTGACACTTCGCTGCCGCCGTTCTACATCCTCGTGTACATCGACGACTTGGTTTTTGCCACTGCTGACACTGAGGCACTCCCCCTTGTGAAGTCGGAGCTACAGAAGCGACACACGTGTACAGACCTGGGTGAGCTGCGCAGCTATCTTGGCTTGCAGATCACCCGGGACTGAACACGACGCACCATCACCCTGACTTAGTCACACATGGTGCAGTAGGTCCTTCAGCGCTTCGGCTTCACTTGGTTCTCGCCACAGTCCACTCCTCTGGCTACCGGTCACTCGCTCTCAGCTCCACCTTCGGACAAGTCCGTAGAGCCGAGTGGCCCGTACCCAGAGCTAGTGGGCTGCCTCATGTACCTGATGACCTGCACTCGTCCTTACCTTGCGTACCCTCTTGGCCTTCTGGCACGCTACGTGGCTCCTGGTAAGCACCGAAAGATGCACTGGGATTCTGCGAAGAGGGTACTGCGTTATTTGTGCAGTACATCGAGCATGGGGCTCGTGCATGGAGGGCGGGGTCCAGTTGTCCTCACTGGACACTAAGACGCTTCGTGGATTGACGACCTGACTACGCTGTGGTCGTCTCAGGGTTACACGTTCAGCCTTGGCTCCGGCTTTGTTTCTTGGCGGTCTACCCGCTCGTCTTCAGTTGTCATTTCCAGTAGTGAGGCTGAGATCTACGCGACAGCCATGGCTGCACAGGAGTTTTGCTGGCTCACCTACCTGCTGACCGACTTGGGAGAGCGGCCTCGTTCTCTTCGAGTTCTGTACGTCGACAACAAGGCTGCAATTGCCTTGTGTCCGGAGCACAGACTGGAACACAGAACGAAGCACATCGCTCTACGTTACTTCCTTGCTCGAAAGTTGCAGCAGTGTGGTCAGCTTCGTCTTGCTTAGGTGGCCACTCGAGCCAACACTGCTGATATATTCACCAAGGCACTTCAGCGTTGTGATCATCAGCGCTTCTGTACTATGTTGGGCCTTGTGCATGTTTTGCCTCACTTGCTCACTCCTTGACTTTGCTTGTACTGTGACCTATATATATATACCTGCATGCTTACTCTTGCTAGGTAGTGATCACTGTACTGTTTGCTGTCTTTTATGTAACTCTGCATATGGACCGGCCTTGTGGCCATTTGCTTGTGCTCAGAGTGTGTGGTGACTTCGCGATCCACCGTAAGCTTGCTTTGCTTTTCTTGACTGGTCTTGTGACCCCTTGTTCTACCCCACTTTGCCTATGGGGATGTGTCAAACTACAATGCTACTTATGTTGTGTAGGCTGTAGTGAGGTAGCCTATATGGGTTACAGCCCAATTAGGGTTATACTTGTACTCATTTTGATGTCAATGCAATCATTCCTACTCATTAGATTCTGACAGACAGTGGTCGACCGATGTAGGGAAGCCAGCGGCCGACTTCGACTTACGTGGTCAACGAATGGATTCGTTTACCTGAGAGAGCCGGGGACATTAACTGGTCGACTAAGTAACCAGGGTGGCAAAGTTCTGCGGGGGTGTGTTGACGTCGCACAGGATGTTTTGGTGAAGTCGACTTGCTTTGCTTTTCTTGACTGGTCTTGAGCCCTGAGTCTGGACGTCCCCGCGGATTACCTTCTAATAGTAGCCTACTTAGGCCTGCAGTTGTGTAGACCATGGTGGTCACCCCTGGAGAAGCCGTAGGCGTAGAGGATACCCTACAGGCCCGGAGGTTGATGTTCGGCGACGCCATGTTGCTAGCGAGTACGTTGGTGACTAGAGACGACGCTCCCAGGAAATCGCGCGCGATGGGCGATGCGTCCACCTCTCCCTGACCTGGGGACAACAGAGGCGACGGCGGCAACGAAGTTGCCGATGGAGGCACGAGGGTGACTCGTGGAGCGATCAAGGCCGTCGGCGTCGGCGGGATGCAGGCGCGAAGGCTGCGCTCGACGCCAACTGCAGGCAGCTCGCACGACGACGCCGACGGTTGACGTCGATATTCCCAACGAAGTGGAGTCAGACCGACCTTGGGGACTCACGTGGACAGAGTCCATTGAGCCGCAGCTGAAGATTGACGGCCTGAAACCGTTCGCCGATGGCGACGTAGAGACGACGGTGAGGCAGTCGTCAAGCTCCAAGCGGAATTCCGTGTTGCCCACCTGCTGGCATTTATGGTAATATCGCGGTGTTGCTAGACGCTGGTGCTATCACCCTAAAGGCCTTGTTGTCTTTGAGTGGACATCGGCTATCAAGCCTGAGAGTTTATCAAGTCGACCTACAAGGCGACAGACGACCTCTACATCGGCTAATAAGACCAATATCCGGATGAGCGCCACGGTTTTGTTGGCATCAGCGCCTGAAAGCACGGGGCTTTTAGTAGAAACAATTCTTAGATGGCATCATGCATGATACAACATCATCACTCGACATGGCTCCCTCTGGCTCTACAAATTGTTCCAACTGGCTCCCTTACATATCTGCACATCCCCGTGATCTCCAGGAGGTTGGCTGTGTCGATTGCCTTCAAGACACCGGCGTCACCGCCACATTTTCCTGACACGAGTGGTTCGTGACCTGTATGGTCACGACCACTAGGGCACCTCTTGTCACGTTCCCCATGAACTTTGTATCACTGTATCCCCCCATGTTCCCGTGTCTGGTCAGGAAGTTACGGTCTTGCTCGTGTTGGTCTCTCACTCACCCGTCGCTCCTATGGCACCACCTTCTCCTAGGTTACCCCACCCTCTTGCATCTTCGTCACATGGCTCAGCACGGGAAACATTGTCACCTTCGTTCCCCCGAAGCGGACCAGGGATGTACCCAGACTCCAGCGCTGACTTCGAAAGAATTCAGACTTTGACCTGCAAATGCTGTCTCTTCCCGTCAGACCACGCTACGCAATTCGGTAACCCGTCGCAACCATCACGCGAAGCCCCCATGCACGAACCGCATTTCAGACCAGGGTTTGAGCTACAAAATGAGCAGCCAGGATTGTTTGACAGCACAATTCAGCAGCACTCGAGCACTCCAGCTCCTGCCCATCTCCGAAACCCATTCAGTGCGTTAGCTTTACCCCATCACAATTAGCTTTACCCCTTTTTCCGATAGCTGCGAATTCTCCACGCTGATTTGATCTGCATCTATTGCAGCTCGATGGGTAACCCCGTCAAACCACAGCTTGTGGCGGTTCCTCTCATTCTCTTTCTCGTCATCGGCTCTTGCACTGCTGCCGCTCATCCCTGGCGACGTGCTCTCGTCCGCAACGACGACGCTGTCTCGTGGAATGCCGCAGCCGCATATACCAACAGCCGCACCGCACCTCGCGGAGTCAACTCCAAGGCTGCGACGGTCGAACAGAGGGTGTCAGAGCCCCTCGTGTATTCTGCCAGAGGCGGCGCTGCTGGTTCCCACGCGACTCCCAGTTGGAGTCAGCACACTGCTGCCAGTCGCGTGGGAACCGCTGCCCCTCACGCCGTCCATTACGCGGCCACTCCTGACGCCGCCTCTCCCGCCGCCCCTCATGCTGTCCATTACGCGGCCACCCCTGACGCCGCCTCTCACGCCGCCCCTCACGCCGTCCATTACGCGGCCACCACTGACGCCGCCTCTCACGCCGCCCCTCACGCCGTCCATTACGCGGCCACAACCCGCGGCGCTCCTCACGCTGCACGTAACGCCGTGAATCACGGCTCTCACGGACCTGGAAACGCCAACCTCCCTGCAGCAGCGAATCAGCATCGAGGTGGTGTTTCCCGCCATGACGGTAACGGTGGTGGAACAATCGCCGTCAACGGCGCATTCCGCGCAGCCAGCGCGAACGACGTGGCGATCCATCACCGCTCCAGCCACGAGCGTCACACACGAGACGAGCGCAGCAGTGGCGGGCCAGTGGGGCGGCACATCCAGCCCAGCAGCAGTGGAGGCTTTACTGGCGGTGTACTGGCGCCTCCACTCTGGTCCTTGCCCCGCGACAGGCCACGCTGGCCATTTCACAAGGCAGGAGCTTCTGATGTGGCGTTCCACAGGAGGAATGGTGGCGGCAACAGCAATGCGCGCGGCGCTAATCACCCGGGCAGCTATCAGCGAGTTGATGGTGTGAATCGTGGGAGTGTGGGGATGGCATTTGCACGCACTAACGCAGCTGGTGATTATGGAGGAGATTACAGCGGCGGTGACTACAGCGGTGGTGACTATAACGGAGGCGACAACGGTGGTGACTACAACGGAGGCGACAACGGTGGTGACTACAACGGAGGCGACAACGGTGGTGACTACAACGGAGGCGACAACGGTGGTGACTACAACGGAGGTGACTACAACGGAGGTGACAACGGTGGTGACTACAACGGAGGTGAGAACGGTGGTGACTACAACGGAGGTGACAACGGTGGTGACTACAACGGAAGTGACAACGGTGGTGACTACAGCGGAGGTGACAACGGTGGTGACTACAACGGAGGTGACTACAATGGAGGCGACAACGGTGGTGACTACAACGGGGGTGACAACGGTGGTGACTACAACGGTGGTGACTACAACGGTGGTGACTACAACGGTGGTGACTATAATGGTGACGGCGGTAACGGTGGCGGTGACGGTGGAAACGGTGGCGGTGACAGCGGTAACGGTGGTGGCGGTGGTGGCGGTGGTGGCGGCGGCAGCATCGACATCGCAGGTATTCTCGAGGAGCACAACAAGGCACGGCAGGAAGTGGGTGTGCCGGATCTGGCATGGGACGACGGAGTGGCAGCAACGGCACAGGAGTGGGCGAACGAGCTGGCGTCCAAAGGGTGCCCTCTGGAGCACGGCGGAGCAGAGGGGCTCGGGCAGAACCTCTACTGGCTGTCACCCGCAGGGCTGACCCCCCAGGAGGACCGTGGGGCAGTGCAGTCATGGGTGGAGGAGAAGGCGGACTGGACCCCCAGCCCCATTCCCGACGGGTGTGCGGACGGCAAGATGTGTGGGCACTACACGCAGGTGGTGTGGCGCGACACCACTCATGTCGGTTGCGCCTCTGCTCAGTGCCCCGATGGCTCCGGCATGTGGGTCTGCAACTACTCGCCCCCAGGCAACTTTGCCGGCCAGACTCCTTTCTAGGCCGTCAGATGGTGCTGTCAGCGAAATCGTGCTGGAAGATGAGGGTGTGCAAAGTCAGAAGTTTGAAAGTTGTACGGACTGTTTTAGACTGAAGGTATGCTGCAGAACTTTGGGGGAAAGGGTTTGACAGTGTAAGGGTGGGCTCTGGCAGTTGTATGTGTGTGGAATCGGTGAAACTCGGCTTGTAGTCCGTATGAGTGGTTTCTGTTTTCTAGTGTGAAGTGTACAAACCGACTGGGAACAAATGTGACCGCATGTGTTCTTTGGACACCCAAGTTGACAGCCATGACAGGAGAAAAGTAGTTGAGCCCGTGAACCACAAGCTTTCTTCCCTTCATTAGCATAGTCCTTCCATAGTGAACCCCGATGCAACCACTGTCGCCTCTATTATAATGAGGAGCAAACCCAAGTTGACAGCCATGACAGGGAATTACGGTAAGAGGTAATGGGTCACAAGAGTCCCAGACGAAAAAGGCGAAATCAACTTTGATCTTGAACCACACAATTTATTGATACTGTTTGCTTCACAATTCGTACAAATTCAGAGAGCCTGAACAAGATTGCCTCCTACCCACCCGATCATAATTGCTCCACAATCAAGTACAACAAAGAATGCTCAGAAAGATAGGGAGATCCCTTCTCTCCCAAAATTTGATTCGGCTTTTTTCCTTCCTTCATATTTCGGTAGTCCCCTCGTTCATAGATTTTCTAAAATGGAGTCTCGCCGTCAAAGTTGCCTGGGGGCGAGTAGTCGCAGACCCACATGCCGGAGCCATCGGGGCACTGAGCAGAGGCGCAGCCGACATGAGTGGTGTCGCGCCACACCACCTGCGTGTAGTGCCCACACATCTTGCCATCCGCACACCCGTCGGGAATGGGGCTGGGGGTCCAGTCCGCCTTCTCCTCCACCCATGACTGCACCGCCCCACGGTCCTCCTCCGGGGTGAGAGCAGCGGGCGACAGCCAGTAGAGGTTCTGCCCGAGCCCCTCTGCTCCGCCGTGCTCCAGAGGGCAGCCGAGCGACACCAATTCACTCGCCCACTCCGCTGCCGATGCTGCCACTCCGTCGTCCCATGCGAGGTCGGGCACACCCACTTCCTGCCGAGCCTTGTTGTGCTCCTCCAGGATAGTTGCAATGTCGATGCTTCCGCTGCCACCACCACCGCCACTACCAGCACCATCACCACTACCATCATCGCTACCATCACCGCTACCATCACCGCTACCATCGCCGCTACCATCGCCGCTACCATCGCCGCTACCATCGCCGCTACCATCGCCGCTACCATCGCCGCTACCATCGCCGCTACCATCGCCGCTACCATCGCCGCTACCATCGCCGCTACCATCGCCGCTACCATCGCCGCTACCATCGCCGCTACCATCGCCGCTACCATCGCCGCTACCATCGCCGCTACCATCGCCGCTACCATCACCGCTACCATCACCGCTACCATCACCGGTACCATCACCGCTACCATCATCGCTACCATCAGCATTACCATCACCGGTACCACCATCACCATCACCATCACCAAAGTCACCATTACCATCACCGAAGTCATCATTACCATCACTAAAGTCATCATTACCATCACCAAAGTCATCATTACCATCACCGAAGTCACCATTACCATCACCAAAGTCATCATTACCATCACCAAAGTCATCATTACCATCACCGAAGTCACCATCATCGTTACTGAAATCACCATCACCACTGACGTTACCACCATCGTTATCGTTGCCATTAGCATCACCACCATCAGGACAGCCATTCGAAGAGTCATCGCTATTGTTGTCACCGCCATTTTCACCACCGTTATCATCTCCTGCTATGTTGTCTCCAGATTCCTCTCCCTCAATCCCACCGTCCGCGCCACCATCCTCGCCGGGATTCACGCCGTTGGTACCGCCACTACCACCTCGCTGTTTATTCCCCTTTGACTTGCCTTTGCCGCCGCGGCCGCCGCGTTTTCGGCCCTTGAGATTGAAACCAGGGATCACGATTGCGTTCCCTTTTTTGCCGCTGGCTGCGTTTAATGCGGCGCCAATTGCTCCTCCTTTTCTTCCACGTTTTTTTCCCGGCCCACGGGGCTGGGCATTTCCGGATCCTGCAGCGCCGCCATTTGCGGGATTATGAGGAGCGGAAGGAGCGCCGGCAGTAGGGTCTTCCGACGCGGGTGCAGGTGCGGGTGCAGGTGCGGGTGCTGGTGTAGCGGTCGCAGCGCCTGAAATCACGAGAGAACTCGGCACGCTTTTGGCGAGCATATGAGCCTTTTCGAGCATTTCACGAGGCGCGTTAGGCCCGTTCGTCGATGTCGCCGTCCACAAGACAGCGTCGTCGCTCTGCGACGCTTTGGTGTCGCTGAGCAGCGCTCGTCGCCAGGCATGAGCACAGGAAGAGCCGAGGATGAGAGAGAGTATGAGAGGGACCACCACAAGCTGTCGTTTCACCGGGGCCCCCATTGAGTGGCAATTCTAAATTCAGATCGAGTGTAGTGAGTGACAAAAGCTGTTATGAGAAACAGCTTGTGTTTGGGGCCCTACCGGGTAGGAAACGAATGAGGTTTTTAGTTACGGGATTATGGGCTGCTCGAATGAATATGTGCTTGAAAAGTTGGGAACGGAGCTCTTGTGTGCGTCATTTTCGTTCGTTTGATAGGATCCAGTCTGGTGCGCAATGGTCGAAACCGGCGGAAAACGAAAAAATTCCTCACCATTTTGTAGCGTATCAAACCGTGCGCCCTTTCTCCAAACCAACCTGTCTGGCCCAGATCAGGCCTGTCGATTGGTTTCGGATTAAGAATTACCCCTATCAGAAAGTACCCGTGCGTTTACCGCAAGCAGACCCATGTGAACAATAGAAATGTGCACTGTATCAGGGCTCAAAGTGCAAAAGGTTGCATTCTAAAGTTGGGAACACTATCCGTAGTATGGACCTGAGCGTTTCAGTACAAAGCCCTGCCCGGTATGTGCAGGGAATGAAGGCAAAATGCCTTTCTATCTACTGCCCTGATCCTGATCAGTACTGCTAGCCTGGGGAGAGTGTGTTGGGATTGATCAATTTTGTAGGGTAGTATTAATTTTTGGATCTGCCCCATTCAGTACTCCCTACCTCCAATTTATTGACCGAGATGCGCATGCTGCTCCTGCTGCCTGCACCAACGCCCAGGTGTTGGGACGCCGCAAAGGGCGGACGGCGACGCACCTGGGGTCTGCACCACCGCGACACACCTGGACGCTGGCCCTCCGCGACACACGCGTGGATCAGCGGATCAGCCTGAACCTGGTACAGCAAACAACAGAAACACAGACGAGGAGGACGAATGTCGTAAACGGAATTCTACATATTCGTGAAGGGTTGTCCAGCGCGGTTCGGTACATTGAACCAGGGGTTAAACGAATTTCGGTTTCCACCACTTTAGACCATTGCCCGCCAAACCGAAAGAAGGCGAGAGAAATTGCAATGACCTGAAAAGTGCAGGTGTCGCTGAAGTGCACAGCATGCGGCCCACTGCCTGAGCGAGATTGAAGGGACGCTCACAGCACTTCGTTTCCGAGCCGCGACAATTGTCCGAAAGTCTGGGCTGGGATGGAATCCCTGGCTGCTTCCTCTGGTCCGCTCTTCTGGATATTCCGACAGCAGCATACGTACTACAGACCAACCAATCGTTGTTAATATAACTGTTGGAATTACGAAATACATTATTCTGCTCTGTGGGTTCACCATTCAGGTCTTGCACTAAATGAGATGTATGGATGTGTCAAAACAAGGTCAAGTACACCATCATGATCCAATTATCAGTGAATCACTCTCCTGGATATTATCCACGAAACTACCGTAGCATTTAGGTCACTGCCCTGTTGATGTATTACATACCAAGAGCTGGAATAACACATTCCCTCTCCTAGCTAAACAGTATAGCATCTCATATAAGTGTCCTAGTCTAGCACCAGTATCTCTCGCCCGCTAGCGGAACGGCGTAACATGGGCTAAGGATAGCCTTCGCCCATCCAGCCATATGGCTTTCAATGTATCTAGGAATGGGCATGTGAGTGTGCCCTGCCTCCATGTTCACCACACCCATAAATCATCACAACTTTCTCCACTCCAATCCAACACTTAAATCACCCACAACCAGAAGTCACCCCCTCTTCAAAAGAACAAATCCTGATCATCGTCCCTCCCCCGGCGACCCATCGAACCCATCTGCACCCCACTCCCGCTCGCCCCTGCCGGAGCCGCAGGGGGCCACTCTACACTCCCTCCCACCGACGCCTCTCCCCACTGCCCCGACCCCCCTCCTCCACTCCCCTCTCCCATCCTAGACGACGACGCCGACCCGACACCAGCAGCGCTGGCAGCAGCGGCAAGGGTGACAGCAGCAGGGGGCTGCGCATCACGAGTTGGGCGGCGCATTTCGGCAGGGAAGCGCTGCATGGTGGGGAGTTCCGAGAGCTCTGCTGCGCGCCTGCGCTGTGCACTCGCCCTCCTTGCCACGTCCCATGCCCGCCCCACAATGTCCACACCCTCCTGAAATGGGGGCGCGCACAGGGATAAGGAGAAGAGGAGTGAGGAGGAGGAGAGATAGGGAGAAGCCGTAGAGAGGGAGGGCAGTATGTGGGGCAAGCGGGTGTGGGTGGGAGAGTGGGTTGTTGCACAGAGGAGGTGGAGTGGGAGATGGTCAGTGGGAGATGGTGATAACTACGATGAGGAACTGTGCCGAGGAAAGAAGAGGAGATGCAGGGGTAGTGGTAACGAAATGGCCATGGAGACAACACAGTAAGCATAGTTAATAGAGAAGGAATGGCCATGTAACATCAGGGGCAGCGTGAGGAGCAGAAAGAGGGGCTCCCACTGCTGATGAATCTGATGCATACGATGCACTTGACGCATCCAGTGCGCAGCAGCGCACCTGCTTGGCAAAGAACGACTCGAAGCCGGGCGTGTCAAAAGCAAAGCCAGTGTGCTTCTTGGAGGTGAGGCGCGGCAGAGACGCCATGGCCTGGCTGCGTATCTCCTCCCTCTCCAGCCTGCCCCAGCACAAGGGGTGACGGGCAGAAGCGGGTGGAGTGGGAAGAGCAGGAGGTGCAGGGGTAAGACACATGCGAGGGAGCAAACGAGAAGGGAGGTGAGAAAAGAAGATTGGGAGGGGAAGGCTTGAGAAAAAAACGAGCGAGCAGGGAGGAGGGATGATGGCGGAGGGAGGGAGCAGGAGGGAAGGACAGGTGGAATATGTGGCGGAAAACCCTCCTTCACCCAACCCAATAGAAACCTCATAGACGCACCTCTTGGGCGGCTCAACGGTCATGGCTTCGAGCTCCAGCTGGCGGTCCCTCTCGGCAAACTCGTCCGTCTTGGAGTGGAACTTGAGGTCCTCCTGCACGATCTGGTAGTCGTACGGGGAGAACCACCGCTGCAGGCTGGTGTGGGGGAAGAGGGATTGGCAACGCAGGGTAGGGCGCACAGGGAAGAGACGTATAAGGGGCTTGGTTGAGCCATGAGGAGTTTGGTAGTAGCTGTCTTGGGAGTGGGACTTGAGGTCCTTCTGCACGATCTGGTAGTCGTACGGGGAGAACCACCGCTGCAAGCTGGTGAAAGGGAGGGAAGGCAAAGGGGGAGCATGCAGGGACGCGACGTGTAAGGGAGGAGTAGAGTCATGAGGCGCTTCAAAGCAGGTGATAGCTGCCTGGAGTGGAACATGAGGTCCTCCTGCACGATCTGGTAGTCGTACAGGGAGAACCACCGCTGCAGACTGGTGTGGGGAGAGAGAAGGGCAGGGCAGGGGAAGGGCGAAGGAGGAGGGGAGGTGTGCATGGAATGTGTGTGAGGGGTGCACGGAAGCGACACGTGATGGTGCGGGATGTTTCAAAGAAGAGGAGACAGACTGGAGGAATAATGTAGGTCCTCTTTCAAGGTAAGGTTGTAACGAGAGAGGTGATGGGTGCAGTGGAAGTGATGGGTAAGGCAGGGAGGCGAGGCAGGGCGGCAGGGCGGGGAGGCAGGGCGGGGAGGCAGGGCACTGACCCATTGTAGAGGAAGTCGGGGAGGAGCGCAGCAATGGGCACGAGGAGGAGCGTGAGCCAGAAGTAGGCTGTTCCCATCACCGTGTAGATCACCCAGTACTGGTTCGACTGAAGGGGTGAACGGCATGGCACAGAGCAATGCAAGGGGAAAGCGGGGACAGAGAAGTGAGGAGGTGAAAACGGGAAGGAGAAAGCGGAGAGAGGGAAGGGGGAGTGGGAGAGAGAGGGCCAGTGGAAGCGGAAGCGGGAAAAAGGATGGGTAGGGGGGGGGGAGCAAGACACAGCTAAGAACGACAGGAACAAGGCAAGTGCGCAATCCATCCATTCCCCTCCCTCGACCCCCCTCTTCCCCACTCGCCTTTCCACACTTCCCATTCCCCACTGACCCTTCTCCTCTCCCCCTTCCTTGCTCCCCTTTCTCTATCACCGATCCCCCCACGAGCCCACCCCAGCA